ACACACATATCCACCGCCTTTACTGCACTTTTGCGATTGCCAATACAAACCTGACGGGAGCATTGGCGTTGGCGACATCTTCCATTGCAGCCCCAAACAAATAGCATCTTTGGGCAGTTCCTCAAATTGTCCTTGACCAGGCAACCAACCCTTTAAAAGAAATATTTTCATGTTTTAAGTTTTTCCTAAGTCTACCTTACTGATCAAACTCGCATCATCGCAGAAAGTAAACCTAGCCTGATATCTCGATTAGATTAGGCAGAGTGAGGGCTAAAGTCAAAAGGCTCGTCAGTTGACTCGCAAGTGTTTGATGTGGTAGGTTTATATTGGTGCTCACAGAATTTTTTGAAGAAAATGAAATGTGAAATTTTAAATGAGAAGACAAATCTGATAGCGTTCGGGATGATGAAGCTTTAACAGTCATTTCTGCAATTTCAAGACGAAGATAAGCTCGGTGTGCGAGTCTACCATACAGAGTAATGTTAGAGTCGGCGAATAGGCAAGAGCCCGAGTCGGAAAATGAAAAAAAGCCTTATATGAGACTCTCCGCTTTTGATTAGGACTACTACAGAATATGAAAAGGACAATGTTTGGGGGGAATATAATGTATGGAGCCTTAATCGGACTCTTGCCTCTATTCAGCTAGTTGATGTCATCGGTGAGACTAAGGTTGACTCATTATTCAGGAAATGCGATGTGTAGGGCATGGTAGAGAAAATATAGAACCTTGCGACGTTAACTTTCATCTACAGAAACTCAAATACGGTCTTAGATTTGTGATAGTGCCAACTTCCTTCACCAGTACTGTTGTCCGTGTTAAAGCCGGATACTTTAACATCTCGCTGATTTGTGCACACGTCCCGCCAAAGGGGATGACGTTGCGTCCTAAGATTTTCTTCATGTCATGAACGGCTGGAGGGAAGCTACAAGCATTGCGCGTGCAACGATATTAAACCGTAATTGGAGATTTTAATGGCTGGTTGGTGAGTCAACAGATCTTGGTGTTCCGTCGGAAAAATAGACGACTTCTGCGGCACGCCACTGTGGACCTCCCTGAGATCGGACGCGACGTGAGCCATTTGGGATTGTAAACGAAGCTGAACAGGGAAAAGAGCACCAAAAACTTTTCAGAAAAGGTTAAAAAGGTGTTTCGAATTATCGAAAGAATACAACTTAATGCCTCCCGAAAGTCAAGTAGCTTTTAGACCACTTAAATGTTGCGAAACCTCGCCGGAAATTGCAGTGGAATGGTGGAAAGTTCTTAACTAGCCAGCTACAAAGCTTACTATCCACATTGTGCGGATGCCAGGTAATAGAAGCATAAAAAGTTGCTGCTTGGCAAATAAAAGATAATCGAAATAACTCGGCACATCTGCGAAAAGAGATGGTCTGACGCACTAATTCGTCCAGGACGCAATCTACTTAGACAATTGGCCGGAATAATAGAAGTTCACCGCTTAATGGGAAGGCATACTACTGGCAGAAAGGCTTGAGGTGTTACGTGTTTAGCATTTATTACCTGGAAACTCATCCTTGTGTCGTCGGTCCATT